GCCCGGAGCCCAAAGTGGGGCTCAATCTCACAACTATGAGGCCATTTTTTTTTTTAATAATAAAGTTTATTTATTTGAGAGAGAGAGATTGAACACATGCACATGGGCAGGGGAGGGACAAAGAGAGAGGGGAGAGAGAGAATCCCAAGCAGGCTCCACGCTGTCAGCACAGAGCCCCATCCAGGGCTCAATCTTGCATAAAATGTGACCTGGGCTGAAACCAAGAGTTGGACACTTAACCCACTGAGTGACCCAGGTGCCCCTTAAACTCTAATTTAAGCAGGAAAAAAAATCATCTCAAAATTTTCTTAAAGAACATAACAGTGTTTTTAAAATCGGTTAAAATTGCTAAGAAAATTATGAAGTTAGATAATAACCCAGGGAACTAAACATTTTAAAGACTACTTTAAAAGTAAAAACATCTGATTTTTAGAGGAGAAAGAGAAAACCAGGAATCACAAATAGAAGGAACATTTACTTTGGTATGTTACTTTTTTGTTGTTTGTTCTTAATTACACAGTACTTCTTTTTAAATATCCAAATATAAAAGCTGAAAGTGAAATATTTCAAACTAACACCACATTCAAAACTCAATTCCTGATAAATAGATGGCAAAATTATGAAAGCAAAGTTTTATTTTGAATTATCCTTACAACTTCAAGTAGGGAAAGATATATTAAACAAGACACAGATGGTATACTTTAAATTAAAGGACTAATATATTCAATAAAAATTAAGAATGCTACTTTACTAAAAACCACCCTAAGGAAAGTTAAAAGATAAATTAAAAAGTTGATGCATATATTGTATTACATATTCACAAATATATTTGTTGGTGAATCTATCCAATAGAATCGATTCTCATACAAAATAAAAAGAATTCTCAAAATTCATTAAAAAAAGTTTTAAAACCTTAACAACCCAAGAGAAAAACAGGCAAAAGGCAGGTGTCAAATTAAAAGAAACTGACTCATTAAAAATGACAATTTGGCCCAGATTTCTGACATCAAAACATATTCTACTTAACTAAGGTAAAATTATTATACTTTCCTTATAATTATGCAGGAATCTTAGCAAAGTTTATTGATACAAATCATCTGAGAAATTAATTTGAAAGACCCTCTTCAGCAATGAGAACTGGCCTCACATGCTTGTGGTTGGCAACACATTCACTTCAAAACTGACACAGGGCACCTGGGTGGCTGAGTTGGTTAAGCACCTGATTCTTTATTTCGGCTCAGGTCATGATCTCAAGGTTGTGAGATTGAGCCCCACATCAGGCTCAGCATGGGGTGTGAAGCCTGCTTGAGAGTCTCTCTCTCCCTCTCTCTCTGCCCCTCCCCTGCTTGTGCTTTCTCTCAAAATAAATAAATTAATTAAAAAAGAAAAGAAAAAGAAAAAAACTGATACAGCTAGTAGTAAGTTGTAAAAGATCCCTATGCCCAAACAGATGATTCTTACAGTACTCTTAGAGTAAGTCTTTTTTAATATAAAACTTATTTAATAACTATAGAAGTAATAAATGCTCACTGTATCAAATTTACAAATAAAAATATAAAAATTCCCAACAACACACTGTTAGCATCCAGGTACATTCCCTTCCTGTACATATTTATGGGGAAAAAACTAACTATAATTTTTAGTGGTTAAAAAAATTCATTGTACACATTAGTGTAGTAGATCTCAAACTTCAGAGTACTTAAAAGACCACTTGGGTTGATTCTGAATGAGTGTATCACCAGTGGGACTTAGAAATCTATTTTTTCATAAGCTATAGGTGATTCCTATTCAAGGAGTTCTACATCAAACTTTAACATAGAAAAATTAGAGTTTATTTCCCCACTGCTGCACATTTACTTTTAAAACTCAAGACTTTTTATAATTATATACACACACACACTTTCTTTTTTTCTAAATGTAATTTTATTTTAAATTCCAGTATAGTTAACATACAGTGTTATATTAGTTTCACATCTACAATATCATGATTTCAGTTCCATCACCTGGTGCTTATCCCAAGTGCACTCCTTAATCCCCATCACCTATTTCACCCACCTCCCCTCTGGTAACTATCAGTTTGTTTTCTTTCTTTTTTTTTTTTTAATTTCATTTTTTTAAATTTACATCCAAATTAGTTAGCATGTAGTGCAACAATGATTTCAGGAGTAGATTCCCTAATGCCCCTTACCCATTTAGCCCATCCCCCCTCCCACAACCCCTCCAGTAACCCTCTGTTTGTTCTCCTTATTTAAGAGTCTGTTACACACACACACTCTTAAACAGAAGTTTTTGTGGACAGCTTAGATTTCTTCCCAGAAGTAGTATTTTTGTTCAACAGGTATAAACATTTTTTAAGGTTCTGGATATATACTGCTGAATACAGGGCAAGTCTTTGGGAAGCAAGTTATTCATTTGAAATATGTATAATTAAAATGTGATTATTCAAAGAAAAGTTTTTCTGCTTTATTTTGTGCATCACAGTTCTGATCTATCTGGAATTTATTTCTCCTTAGTGTTAGTATGGGATATAGTTTTATTTTTGTCCCTAAGGTCATTGTCCCAATAACTTTTCCCACTGATTTGAAAGGCTTTTTAAAAAATGTTTTTTAAATGTTTTTATATATTTTAGAGACAGGGAGAGACAGAGCGTGAGTAGGGAAGGGGCAGAGAGAGAGGGAGACACAGAATCCGAAGCAGCCTCCAGGCTCTGAGCTGTCAGCACAGAGTCCGACACTGGGCTCGAACCCATGAGCCATGAGATCATGACCTGAGCTGAAGCCGGCCACTTAATCGATTAAGCTACCCAGGCACCTCTAAAAGTCTTTATAATTTAACATTTATCATGCTTACATGTACATAAGTCATTTTTTGGTCTTTACAATACAGTAATCCCCAACCTTGGCTACACATTAAAATTACCTTTGGAAGCTTTTTTTTTTTTTTTTTTTTTTTTTTTTAATGTTTTATTTTTTTATTTTTGAGACAGAGAGAGACAGAGCATGAGCGGGGTAGGGTTAGAGAGAGAGAGGGAGACACAGAATCTGAAACAGGCTCCAGGCTCTGAGCTGTCAGCACAGAGCCCGACGCAGGGCTCAAACTCACAGAGGGTGCGATCGTGACCTGAGCCGAAGTCGGAAGCTGAACCGACTGAGCCACCCAGGCGCCCCTGAACCCCACCTGACATCAATGAAAGTAAAATCCATGGGAATGGGGCTGGTCATGGGTAATATTCTTTTCACTCTCAGTGTGATCTTAGTGTACACCCGAGGTTGATAATTACTGCTGTAGTTAGTATCGTTGACTTCTTGCCTATTCCTGTGCCAGTACCACATGGATTTGATTCCAGATGACTTTTGAAGTCAAGTTCCTCTCCCCACCCCTACCCTCAGCCACACCAAGAAAATAAAAAGATTTTTATAAGGGCAGCATTTAATGAATAGATTAATCTCTATTCTGTCTTCCCATTCAGGATTGTTGTATATCACTCATTAACTTTTCTACCTTTGTAAAGATTTACTTTTTTTCACATAGGTCTCAATTCTTGTGATTATTCTTAGTTAGGTTATTTTTGGGTTTTTTGTTTGGTTTTTGGGTTTTGTACCCTCTAAATGATCTTTTTTTTCTTTTTATTTTCTACTTAGCTTATAGCAACTATTGCCTTTTAAAAAATAACACTAGTTCTAGTGTCTTTCCCATTGGTTCTCTTGGGTTTTTTAGTTGGACAATCACATTATTCATGTAACAATTCTGACTTCCTTT